CATGGCGACCTTAATGTAAACTATCTTCAAAATACGGCAGATATCTATGTGTCTACCAAAAACACATATTTTCTCCTACAAATATGGAATATTCTAAAAGAATATATATTATCAAAATATGGAATATGGAAATCTACTAATTATATTAATGTGGAAATCGTAATATACCATTTAGCATCTTAAAAATTCCTTAAAAAATATGGAAATTTAATAATTATATGAAACCAATTGAAATATCTACTCTATTAAAATAGAGTCATTATTTTTATCTACTGATACAAGTTGTCATTTAAATCTACTCTATTAAAATAGAGTCATTATTTTTATCTACTGATACAAGTTGTCATTTAAATTTGGACTCTTTCTAGAGTGTTACAAATATTTAACACAAACCATATAGTTAATTAAACCGCATTACTTAAATTAAACCGATGGTTATTTATGGGATATAGTCTTGGGCTTACTTTTGTTTTTAGAACAAATTATATAGTTTATTTTTTGGGCTTAGTATTAAGGAAAAACTCCAAAAATATTGGATAAACTTTCCACCTTAATAGATCAAAATCAATTATTATTTTTAGGCCCAAAAGGTATTTAATATTTTTAACAAAACAAAAATGTCTATTATTAATCATTTATTTAAATCATGTACTTTAAAACATGTTAATGTATTTTTTATTTTAAATAAAAATCACTTTATTTTGATAATTTTCAATGGTAACTTTTAAATAATATATTGTTTTATTTTTCTTAAATAATTTACTGATTAAAAAATGTAAAGCAAAACCAAAAACCAAATCTAAAAACCAAAAGATGAAAACACAAGTTTTTTTTTTTTTGCTTTTGTTTATTTACAAAATAAATTATTGCAAAAAAATTTTCGTCATCTTTTTAGTTTTAAATTAGATGTTAGATTATTTATGATTTGTTTGTTGGTAAAATCAATTCAAACTAACTCAACGGGTCTAAAAATTAAAAGCACAAACAAAAAGCTGAAAATCAAAAGTAGAAACTTAAAAACTAAAAACCAAAATCTAAAACAAAATCTAAAAATAAAAACTGAAACTAAGAACTAATAAAAACAATCATCACCACAAATTTTGGTGAACTGATTTTATACTAAAACATTCTTTAAATTAAGACAAAACCCAATTATATAAATTTTTTAATCATAAAAAATTAATAGAGTCATTATTTTTATCTACTGATACAAGTTGTCATTTAAATTTGGACCCATTCTAGAATGTTACAAATATTTAACACAAGCCAAATAATTAATTAAACCGCATTACTTAAATTAAACCGATGGTTATTTATGAGATATAGTCTTGGGCTTACTTTTGTTTTTAGAACAAATTATATAGTTTAGTTTTTGGGCTTAGTATTAAGAAAAAACTCCAAAAATATTGGATAAACTTTCCACCTTAATAGATCAAAATCAATTATTATTTTTAGGCCCAAAAGGTATTTAATATTTTTAACAAAACAAAAATGTCTATTATTAATCATTTATTTAAATCATGTACTTTAAAACATGTTAATTTATTTTTTATTTTAAATAAAAATCACTTTATTTTGATAAATTTCAATGGTAACTTTTAAATAATTTATTGTTTTATTTTTCTTAAATAATTTACTGATTAAAAAATGTAAAGCAAAACCAAAAACCAAATCTAAAAACCAAAAGATGAAAACACAAGTTTTTTTTTTTTTTTTTTGCTTTTGTTTATTTACAAAATAAATTATTGCAAAAAATTTTTTGTCATCTTTTCAGTTTTAAATTAGATGTTCGATTATTTATGATTTGTTTGTTGGTAAAATCAGTTCAAACTAACTCAACGGTCTAAAAATTAAAAGCACAAACCAAAAGCTGAAAATAAAAAGTAGAAACTTAAAAACTAAAAACCAAATACCAAAATCTAAAACAAAATCTAAAAATAAAAACTGAAACTAAAAACTAATAAAAAACAATCATCACCACAAATTTTGGTGAACTGATTTTATACTAAAACATTCTTTGAATTAAGACAAAACCCAATTATATAAATTTTTAATCATAAAAAATTTCCGCGCTTTCTAGCGCGGGTCAAAATCTAGTACTCTATTAAAATAGAGTCTTTCTTTTTATCTACTAATACAAATTGTCATTTAAATCTGGACTCTTTCTAGAGTGTTACAACAAGCCATATAGTTAATTGAACCGCATTACTTAAATTAAACCGATGGTTATTTATGGGATATAGTCTTGGGCTTACTTTTGTTTTTAGGACAAATTATATGGTTTGATTTTTAGGCTTACTATTAAGGAAAAACTCCAAAAAACATTGAATAAAATTTCTATCTTAATGGATCAAAAAATCAATTATTATTTTGAGGCCCAAATGTATTTAATATTTTTAACAAAACAAAATTGTCTATAATTAATCATTTATTTAAATCATGTACTTTAAAACATGTTATTGTATTTTTATTTTAAATAACAATCACTTTTTTGATAAATTTCAATGGTAACTTTTAAATAATTTATTGTTTTATTTTTCTTAAATAATTTACTTATTTAAAAAAATAAATGTAAAGCAAAACCAAAAACCAATTCTAAAAACTAAAACCCAAAACCAAAAGCTCAAAACGCATTGTTCTGCATAACATATTGTTATAGTTTTTAAAAAAAATTGTCATCTTTTCAGTTTTATTAGATGTTCAATTATTTGAAATTTGTTTGTTGGTAATATCAGTTCAAACTAACTCAGCGGATCTAAAAATTAAAAACTCAAACAAAAGCTGAAAATCAAAAATAGAAACTTAAAAACTAAAAATCAAAATTTAAAAACAAAAACTGAAACTAAAAATCAAAATTTAAAAATAAAAACTAAAACTAAAAACTAATGAAAAAAATCGTCACCACAAATTTTGATAAACTAATTTTATACCATAACATTCTTTAAATTAAAACATAACCCAATTATATAAATTTTAGTTATAAAAAATTTCCGCGCTTTCAAGCGCGGATCAAAATCTAGTTTAATATTATTTTAGAGTAAGATTGAAGATTGAAACAATATGCCTATAATATACAAAATTTAATCACATTGGGCTTCAGAGACAAATTGTTTGGGTTTAATTTACAAACAATTGATATTTGGTGTATAAATCAAATATCAGTTTGGGTTTTCTTATAAGAATTTGAAATTTCAATAATGTATAGCTAGTGGGTTTCACATATTCCGGCTAAGGGCCTGTTTGTTTCACCATCCAGATGAGTCATCTGGATGGAGATGAGAGTTTTGTTTGTTTATACACTAAAAGTACAACTCATCTAGATGGATCATCCGGATGACTTTGAAATTTTAGGCTTAATTTTGAAGTCCATCTGGATGGACCAATTTGAACCATCTGGATGGAGATGGTTCTTCCAAAATTGTATAATATCTATTATACCCTTTTATATAATTCATAAATTACAAACCTAAACATACTATTATTTTGTAACTTACATGACAAAACCACATTTCCTCAAATGATCAAACCGCATTTTTCCGCCAAAACCGTAAAAACACGTTTTTCCGCCAAAACTGTAAAAACTTGTTTTCTCGCCAAAATCGCAAAACGGATTTTCTACCAAAACCGCAAAAACGCGTTTTCTAAAAAAAACCGCAAAACGCGTTTTCCCGTAAAAACGTATTTTTCCGCAAAAACGCGTTTTCCCGAGAAAACACGTTTTCTCGAAAACGCGTTTTCCCGAAAACACGTTTTCTCGAAAACGCGTTTTCCCGAAAACGCGTTTTCCCGCCAACACGCGTTTTCCCGCCAAAACGCGTTTTTCCACCAAAATGAGTTTTCCCGGGAAAACGGGAAAAACGTATTTTCCCGCCAACGCCAAAAACGCGTTTTCCCGCCAAAACGCGTTTTCCGCCAAAACGCGTTTTCCCGCCAAAACGCGTTTTCCCGCCAAAATGCGTTTTCCGCCAAAACGCGTTTTCCCGCCAAAACGCGTTTTCCCGCCAAAACGCGTTTTCCGCCAAAACGCGTTTTCCGCCAAAACGCGTTTTCCCACCAAAACGCGTTTTTCGCCAAAACGCGTTTTCCGCCAAAACGCGTTTTCCGCCAAAACGCGTTTTCCCACCAAAACGCGTTTTTCCGGGAAAACGGGAAAAACGTATTTTTCCGCAAAAACGCGTTTTCCTGCCAAAACGCGTTTTCCCGCCAAAACGTGTTTTTCCGCAAAAACGTGTTTTCCCGCCAAAACGTGTTTTCCCGCCAAAACGCGTTTTTTGCTAAAACCGAAAAAATTAGTTTTCTCGCCAAAACCGTAAAAATACCTTTTTCTGCCAAAATCGCAAAAACACGTTTTCCCGAAAAACACATTTTCCTGCAAAAACGTATTTTTCCGCTAAAATCGCAAAAACGTGTTTCCCGCTATAACCGCAAAACACGCATTTTCCAACTAAAACCACAAAAACCCGTTTTTCCCCTAAATCCGCAAAAACTCATTTTCGCGTCAAATTATAAAAATATATTTAAAATTAATATCATACATATGACTAAATTAAAACAAAGATATTTTAGTAATTTTTTTACTAAACTCATCTAGATGGAGAAGAAAAACAGAGAAACAAACATGAGTCCATCTACATGATCCATCGAGATGGACCATCTTGATGGACAAACAAACAATCTCAAAAATGTGGATGGACCATCTAGATGAATTAACTGGATGGAGATGATAGATGGTGAAACAAACAGCCCCTAAAACGAAATTTAGTTAAGATTTAAAATTTGTAACAAAATGAAGTTACAAGGGCTGACCTATGGATATCTTACTGATCCCATTTTATAGATTCTCATGCTCTTGGAAATATTCGTATTTGTTAGTCATTTTCCCCCAACTCGCCTAATACTTTTATTTTCTTGATTTTACTTTTTTTTTCATAATTAAAATTGTGAATAAAAAAAGAAGAAAAGAAAAAGGGGCTACGGTCTTCTAGCGAACTCCTTTCATTCGTTTCATTCATTCTTCTTCTACTACTCCTCACTTTCCTTATCTCTCTCGCTCTCGCTCTCGAACAGCTCTTCCTTCTCTCGTCGACCCTTTGATTAATAAGGTACGATTCTCCTCCTCTTTTCACTACAGACTTAATCTATGTGTTAGCTACCTCTTTACACACTTTCCTTCGCTTGGGCCGATTTGTTTCCACGGAATCAAATTCAGGCCCAGCTATAAATAATTCTGCCTTTTAGGTTTAGCCGATGAATAAAATCAGATTGTTTTGTGATTATTAGTACTGCTGAATTGAGATTCGTATTCTGCCTTTGGGATTGGAAAGCAAATGTAATTCATTTCTCTGTTAGGATTGGGTTTTGATTGTTTCTGCATTTATATTTGTGTTGCAGGGGAGAGAGTTGTATTGATTGAGCTCACAAAGATGGCTTTCATACAGTTTGGAAGTAGTTGTGTTGCTCAATGGAGTATTCGTCCTCATTTTGCTTATCATCCAAGCACCAGACTCCATTCATCAACCCGCCAACAAAAGTATTCATTTTATATTTCTGTTAAATATCTCTCTCAACTGGATTATGTTAGTTATTGGAAGTAGTTTGATCTGTTCACACTGCACATCTTAAAAATAGTCTTTGTACTGGCCAATGAGACACAAAACACCACTTTTTGGAAGAGTTGTATATCTGAAATAGCATTAAAAGGCTTTTCTTTTGATTACCCTTTTGCCAGTTCCATGAGGAGCCAGATAAACTGTTTGGGAGCTTCAAGGTCGAGTATGTTCTCACATGCCTCCTTGCCCTTCTTGTCCATGTCAGGAATGTCTAGAACTATGCAACCTCGCAGAGGTTCTCGCTTCACTGTTAGAGCTGATGCAGTAGGTTTTTCCTTTTTTCTTAGAAATGTGTATGTATATCTGGCTTCTTATATCTGATCTAACTTCTTGTGATCTCCATTCTTGATTCTAGGATTACTATTCGGTCCTCGGAGTTTCCAAAAATGCAACCAAGTCCGAGATTAAGAGCGGTATGTTTCTGTTTCTCTGACTTGTCTATTACATATGTTTCATGCATGTTCATATATTACATATGGCACTTATTCATTCCTCCTTGCTCTTTTTTCAGCTTATCGGAAGCTTGCTAGGAACTACCATCCGGACGTGAACAAGTAAGTAATGATGAGATTGGTGCTGTATATCTTGATAACGAGAGTATAGGATCGACACAAGTACATCATATGAACTGTAACCAAATGTAAGATATGCTAGATTGGGGAAACCGGTAACCTTAAAAAAATTGACATTAGCGAAACACAGGAATTATAAAATGCTTAGAAACCTCTTATATTTTCATTCAAGGATGATACTTCTTAGTTAGTACAGTGCACCCTCTTGTTTACAAGTTTTACAATGTGCTTACAGGGAACCTGGTGCAGAAGAGAAATTCAAAGAAATAAGTAATGCATATGAGGTGAAAATGAAATGAAACACTTCTCTCTCGTCTTTCTATTATGAAAGTTCAAACTTCTGGGGATATATTTTATTTAGCCTTTTAAGGTTTCTGTTGACTAAAGAACTTTTTTTTTTTGGGTATGCAGGTTTTATCTGATGATGAAAAGAAGTCTCTTTACGATAGGTTTGGTGAGGCCGGAGTTAAAGGCGCTGGTGGAATGGGAGGCATGGGGGTACGTTGTTCTAAACAAATATATACAGACTTAGTATTTCTCTAAAGACACTTCAAGCCAGCTCTCTGATCACTTGTTGGTTTGGTTTTTCATAGGATTTTAGTAATCCATTCGATCTATTCGAGTCATTATTCGAAGGCATGGGTGGGATGGGAGGTGGTGGTGGAATGGGTAGAGGTTCAAGAAGCAGAGCCGTGGATGGTCAAGACGAGTATTATTCCCTTATCTTGAACTTCAAAGAAGCAGTTTTCGGAATGGAGAAGGAGATAGAGATAACCAGGCTCGAGAGCTGCGGGACTTGCGAAGGTTCAGGTGCAAAACCCGGAACCAAACCGACCAAATGCACAACCTGTGGCGGTCAAGGCCAAGTGGTTTCATCAGCAAGAACTCCTCTCGGTGTATTCCAACAAGTCATGACTTGCTCGTCCTGTAACGGCACTGGAGAGATCTCCACACCGTGCGGTACTTGCTCTGGAGACGGACGCGTGAGGAAGACAAAACGTATAAGTCTCAAAGTACCTGCCGGGGTTGATTCCGGTAGCCGGTTAAGAGTAAGAGGAGAAGGCAACGCAGGGAAGAAAGGCGGGTCACCGGGTGATCTTTTTGTGGTTATAGAGGTCATACCAGACCCGGTTCTGAAACGGGAGGATACTAATATTCTCTACACTTGCAAGATATCATATATAGATGCTATCTTAGGGACCACGCTGAAGGTCCCAACGGTGGACGGGACGGTGGATTTGAAAGTACCGGCGGGGACACAACCGGGGACAACGCTGGTGATGGCTAAAAAGGGAGTTCCTGTGTTGAACAAGAGTAATATGAGAGGGGATCAGCTGGTGAGAGTGCAAGTGGAGATACCAAAGAGGTTGAGCAAAGAGGAGAAGAAGCTTATTGAGGAGCTTGCTGATATGAGCAAGAACAAGACTGCTAATAGCAGTAGTAGTAGATGAGAGTAGAAAGAAAAAAGTTTTTGACATTTGGAAATGTGAATCTAATATGTGAATGAATGAATACACATTGTTCTTGCTCTGTAAGCTTATGATAATTGAAATGACTCTTGCTAAGAGGAAGAGTAAAGGGATGATGAAAATGATCCATTGTTGTTGTGGTGAAGGATACTTGAAGATCTTTTGGAGTTTTTGTTTTTGGTTCTTCAAATTTTTAATTTTATATATCAAAATTGTTAGGCTGTATTTGGAGTTTTATTTCTGATTGGCTGATAAATGCATTCAACTCTGGACCTCAGGTGAAGGATACTTGAAGATCTTTTGGAGTTTTTGTTTTTGGTTCTTCAAATTTTTAATTTATATATCAAAATTGTTAGGCTGTATTTGGAGTTTTATTTCTGATTGGCTGATAAATGCATTCAACTCTGGACCTCAGGTGTGTGAATTTCAATTGCAAAAAGGGGTGAACAAAAAATAAATGGGGTGAGAGAGGCTCGAACTCTCGACCTCAGGATCACTCAGATAGCTATGAGACCTACGCGCTAGCCAACTGCGCCACCACCCCGTTTGAAGAAAGTCATCATAAGTATGTTATCATTCTATAATTATAGAAGTATGTCTATAGAGATTTAAATGTACGATTCACCTTCCTCTCTTTACATCCAGTGCTGAACTCTTGTCAATAATACAACTAGGGTTTTTCTATGGAAAGGTTTAGCTATGTGATGTGCACTGCTTATTTTCTCTGAGAGCTTTATTGAAGTATGGGTTAATTCCACCAATTTTTCTCCTTTGACGATGCAAATTTTGTTTATTTCTCTCTCTTTTTATTGCATTTGAAAAATTGTTTGTTTCTTTCCTCTATTTGATTAAAGAAATTGGTTAGTATTTGATTCATGATCTGTTTGTGCATTGGTAGAGTTACAAAGACAAATTTTTCTCGGCTGAAAGCTACTTAACTGTGTTTTAGGGAGTGTATTGAGCTAAAATGTCTGTAACACAATTTAGAAGTAGTCAATTTGCAGTAAGAGCTTATCCTCCCAGCAGAATAGAGCAAAAGTAAGTTCTCTAATTGCCTTCCTCAAAAGTTGTTGATCACTGGAAACTAGTAGTATCACTAATCAAGTTTTTGGAAAGAGTGTATATCTCAAAGTTTCTTTCTTATTTTTGCCTGCCAGTTCCAAGAGGAGCCAAATAAATTGTTTGGGAGCTACAAGGTCTAGTAGTATCTTCTCACATGCTTCCTTGCCATTGACGTTAATGGCAAGCAGAAATATGAAGAATCACAGACCCTTAAGGGCCAGTATATTTGATTTCCTAAATGGGGTAAACAATAAAGAAGTGAGTGTTCCTATTTTTTCTTCCCCTTTTCTCTACAGAGAATGCATACATATCACTAATTTGTATGATCCTGAATGATTTCTAGCGTTACTATTCCCTTCTTGGAGTTTCAGAAAATTCAACCCTATCTGAGCTTAAAAGAGGTAATCAATCCATAGATCAAACCCTCATGTTCTCTTTGTACCTACATTTTGGTATGACACTCTGATTTGCTCTTGCTCTTGTTGTGTAAAGCTTACCGGAGAATGGCTATGAAGTACCATCCAGATAGGAACAAGTAAGTGACAGAAAGCCTTCATCTTATGAAGATTAACCAACACTCAAAGTATTGAAACCTTAAGCTTACAGGGAGGATCCTGATGCAGCAGCAGCTAAATTCATAGAAATAACTCATGCATATGAGGTCAAAATAATTTCTTCTCCTTTTGTTCTAGAGATGCTTTTTTCTGTTGAGCAAAGCTTTTTTGGTTTGGTTTGGTGCAGGTCTTGTTAGATGAAATGAAAGAAGATTTTGACGATATTTGTGAGGATGAAGTAATGATACCAATCAAGAGGACTTGTTACGATGTGAATTCTCTAAAGACTCTTATGGCCAAATGCACCAGTTGCGGCGGGCAAGGTCATGTGTACACCTCAGTGAAAACTCCTCTTGGTATGAAGCAACAGGCCCTGACTTGCTCTTCCTGTAATGGCACTGGCCATGTCTTTGATCTTCGCACATCTGAAATCTCTTAAGGCTTTAGTACAGTCTTTACATTTGTAACTTAACTATTAGTGCAGAAGAACTATTTGACCATTTCCAAAACTCAAATGCGTCTTCTTTTTAAAAGTGAGTGAGAGAGGGTTCGAACTCTCTACCTCAGGGTCACTCGGTAGCCATCATGTTATGTGAACAAAATACACTAACATTAAACCAAAAGAACACTTGTTTTCTTTTACTTGCAACTTGTTATAAAGTAGTACCACCTCCATCCGACATAAGAGATGCAGCAGCCGCAGCAGCGGTCGGCACAACTCCCATAGAGATGAACGGTTTCGACAAGTGCACAAGCCTGAAAACAAACAATGAAAATGGGTTTAGATCAAAGACAAACACTATATCTAATCATAAATGAGAGTGTAATAAAAAACATAATCTTACGGGGCGAGAAATTCACAGAAAGATGAAACCGCAGCTGCAACTTCACCATAGTTCTCAGGTGTTGCTGGAGCTGTTACAACAACAATCTGCATCCCTGGTGTTACAGGGACAGCCTCATCTATGGCATGGATCTTAGGCATCTTGTTCACTGAAGATACAGAGACGCTAATGTGCGCGTTCCGTTGGAAATGGAAAGCGAAGCCAACTTTGAGAAGCTCGTGGTCTAGTTTGTAACCGAGAGAGTAAAACATACGCAAGGCGTTCTTGCTGACTTTACTTTCAATCATGGTTCTTACCATAACAGAGATTTGATCAGCTCCTGCACCTCTCATTGCACCACCAACATGTTTAACCGTCCTAAAATCAAAGATTTTCTTGATTAGAAGGCTCTTTTTAGATAATATATAGAAACAAGAAGTTGTAGTAAGTACCATGTGGGCTCTGGTTGTTGGTCAAGGTCACATAAAAGCCTAACTTCTGAAGATACAACTCCTGAAAAGGTGAACAAGATTCATAACCATATCTTATTTGATTAATTGATATTATTAAAGTAATAGAGGAATGTATACCAAGATTTGGGATGCTTTTCAAGGTTAGCTCATGAACTCTCAAGCGTTCACGTTGAACACCACAAAGACCTTGAAGAAGAATCTCAAGAGCTTCCACATGCTGAAGAAAATGGACCAAGAAACATTAAAATCTAAGTACCCATATGAACTAAAGGTTAAAACTTTGCAAATCTAATTAGCTTTTTCATGAACATTCGAACACTTTGATATTTAATAAGAAGGACCTGTGTCTCAATGATTCCTTGAACTACACACTCCATTGAATTGTTTTTACTTCACTTCTTACAAAACCTTCTGCATAACAACACACATTAACACTAATCCATCACCCAAAAAAAGAAAAGCAAAATTATCGAAAACAGACCAAAGCTATTACAGAAATGTATCCCCAGAGACACTGAAACTCGTTTGTCGTCAAAGAGAGAAAGATTCACGCCCAGATTTTTAGAGGGGAATTAGAGAGAAGAAGACGATGGAACAAATCTTTCCAGCAAATGAGCTCGTTTTGCAATAGATTGTGTTGCAATATACTCGAAGCAAGTTGGCCTATTAGCTCAGTTGGTTAGAGCGTCGTGCTAATAACGCGAAGGTCACAGGTTCGATCCCTGTATAGGCCAAAATGTTTTTAAAAAATTTTACAGAGAAAAACAGAAACAAAATATATCGAGTTTAATTGCAAAGAAAGTCGAGATCTGTCAACATCACATGTTCAATATTAAAGAAAAAAAAATGCAACCAAAATCTTTTTTTTTTTTTTGACAAGATCAACGTATTATTTTATTAAGGGACACTGGAGCTAATAATGGTGATGAGAAAATTGATGGGAATGTTAAAGTACGATTTTCAGCATAAAAATCGTTAAAACTTAAAACTCAAAATTGATTCACTTTTCAAATATCATATCAATTAAACATAAATTCTAGAATTTCTCAAATGAGAACCTACATTTACTTTTCTATTCAGTCTTTGTCTAGAAGAATTATATCAAAATGAAGGTGCAGTTTTTCCTTCCATCTAACCAAAAAGCAGTTTCATAGTCTTTTTCAATAGGATTTTATCTTAATGGTGGGTTGTTAAGGATCAGTTTTAGGGTTTTAAAAACTAAATTTAAAACTGTGGGTCTTATATTCCATCATTCCCCTACCATTCCAATCATAACCATGCCCTGCCAACCCATCCATTTCGCCGGCCGAGTACAAAGCCCCCACACCAAAATTTTCTTAAAAATATAATATTTAAATGAACATATATATGACGTCAAAATGAACATATATATAATATTTACTTACGATTTAGACAGTGTTATAAAATAAGATCATGTAGAAAATATAACCTCTTAAAAATTCAAACCGAGATATAAATATGACTTATTTATTTAAAATATTAAAATATTTAAAATCTATAATTATAGAGTCAAGAATTATTTTTACTCTAGGGTTTCTATTAGTGTCGAGCTAGCGATGCCCTACCAGTCCAATTCATAATTTTGCTAGGGCGATGATGAAACAAGAACATAAATTGGTAGTAAATCAAAATTGATATATAGTTTCAAAATTTAAATAAAAAATAGGATGCAAATTTTTCAGGTTTGAAATCGATTATCCCTATATATTATTTGCAAAATAATTTTGCAACATGTCATTTGTACAATCAGTTTCACAAAAAAATGTGACATGGCTACTAAAATTGATGACATGGCTTATGACAAAATATGACATGGATAATTATATTTAATTTTAATTTATATTTTTGGTAAACTTTTAAGTATGGTAATACGCAAACTATACATTTAATGTTGATATTTATTTATAGTAAAATTTTAAAATATGGTAATAACTCATACATCATCTTTAAAATAAATATATGTTTAAATATAACATTACAAATTTCGAAATATTATTCTATTTTATTTTTTTCTATTATAAAATTTGTATTACTAAAGTTTTCAAAAATTGCTACAATTTTTTAAAAAAATATAAATTTCTAATCGTAAAACCATTAGTTTCTTATATATATAAAAGTTTTTTAAATACTGTTTAGTTTAAATTTTTGATAATTATACAATATTATATCACTTTTATTAATTTTATACACATTAACTCAATATATCTAAGCAATATAAATGGATAAAAAAATCTATCGAAGATTATAATTTTAAATATATGCATATATATTCTTAAATATAATTTTAAATAAACAAAATTATTTTATCTTAATTTAATGTTTAACCAAATCAAATCTATATTTAAATATTGATAAGAAAATAATAAATTTATAATATTGAAAAAATTTATTATTAAATATAAGTTAAGCTTAAAAAATTTCGCACTACACATGGTGTAGGAAAACACATAGTTCCCATCATATGAGTAACTAAATACCAATTTGCAACTCCTAATAAATCAAACTAGGTTAAGACCCGCACAATTGCGCGGAATAAATGTCATATGTAAAAATAGTTTATATATATATATTTTAATTTACATATTATATATATAGTTAAATTAGAGAGATCACATAAATCAAAATAACACCTCATGTTTATTTACGATATTTTTTGTTAAATAAACCAAAAGAGTCCTTTTATTTATTTAATTTGGTATATAACTAAATTTCAATGACATGGACATATATATATATTGTAATATAAATATTTATTATCAAAAATTCATAATCATATGATAAACACAAAATTTATAATGTGCAATTTTTCATTGCAAATTTCAAAATAAAAATGAAAAAATAACATATTTATGTATTTATATGTTGTATAGTTTAGTTTCAAACTGTTTAATATAATATGAATGTCTATTGAATGAGATTTTATATTCATACGATTTATGATCATTTGTATCTTGTTATTAAAAAAAATAAATCATTGATCACAAAATTTTAGTGTGAGACATTTAAAGTTATAAGTAATTTATACTCGTTTTAACAATTCAAAATATAACAGATAAGAAAAATAATATTTTTTACTATATGATAATATTTATGATTGTTTAATATCTTTTAATAATATAAAATTAAACAAAAAAAGAACTGAGGTACAAAAATTGTTATCAAATATATTTATTATTCATAATCATTAATTGTCTTTAATCATATTAGGTAATTTTGTATCTTTTATTTAAGAAAGTGTGAAATATTCTTTTGTATACTATTTATCAATTTGATAGTTAGTTTAAGAAAAAGTATAATATAAATTAAGATTGACCAACTTATTTTTCTAGGAATTTTGAATTTTATTCATGGGAAAACGTGGCTATAAAACAATATTGTAATGTTTCTCAATTAATATATAAGGGATATGTACTAGACTCACTATATGTACAAACTACTAGTATATATGTATTTAATTTAATACACATAAATCTTTTGGAGCTATAAAAAACACTAAGTAGATATTTTTTATTTGTTTTGTTTGGGGTGTGAAATGATTTTTGGCTGTGCTTCTGGTTGTGGGTAGTGGGCCATTCTATTCACTAAAGCACACCAAGTGTTGGACCCCGATCAACTCGTTTATAAGAATTATTGTTCAAAGCTTTTTGAAATTAACATGATCGGTAGCAGATGCTTCCCTTTTTGGTTAGTATAAGGTGCTGTGCCACTTCCTTGAACTTGCGATGCAAGAACGAACTAGGTATAGTGAAGAGGTCAAAAGGAGGGGCAACTAAGACTGGTATTTCTTAAATAAAGCTTTTCTTCTTTTTTTTTATATATATAATTATATCTTTTTTATTTAAAAAATAAATATTTTTGGTTACGCGTTGATCCAAAGACTTACTTGTGTCATCTTACGTATCTTACGTCAAATGATCCATCTTCGCCCGTACTATATAAAGGGCTATATGGGAGCTGTTAGGATCACAAACCTCATAATCAATCAAGAGTGTTTTACTTGAGTTTGACTTCGGATTTCTAAGTTCTTGGTTTTCCTCAAAGGAAGAAGAAAAAGAGGTTTCACTCAAAAAAAAAGAGGTCAAATTCTCAAAGAAAAAAAAAAGAGAGGTCAAATCATGGATGCTTCTTTAGCTCCAGTTTCTGAGATTATCAAGCTGCTGAAAGAGGTCAAGAAAGTCATGAGTGATTTCCCACTCGTGTTCAAGAGATTGGCCTCGACGTTGGAGAGAATAGTTCCGATTATTACCGAGATCGTGAAGTTGCAAAAAAGATTGAACCCGAGCAGTAAAGACCTAAAGTTTCTTACTGAAACCACTCGAAGAGCTAAACAAGTGGTCCGCGAGTGCCCACTCATCCGGGGATACGATATACCCAAGAAAAAACGGTATATTAAAGAGATAGAAGAAATCAATCAGAAGTTTCTCACTTTTTGTCAGATTGACATGTCGCTTATTGGGTTTAGGGACTCTCTTTCACGAAGAAGCCAAGAGGCAACTACCGGCATTTCCACTGGAAAAAGCTCATTCGATGAAGATGAACAAAGAAATATCTTGGAGAGTATCATGGATAATGTGAAAGATAAAAATAAACAGCGAGTTATTTTGGAGAGTGTCAAAGATAATGTACAAGATGAAGATGAACAACGGGTTATTCTGGAGAGTATCAAAGATAATGTGAAAGGTAAAAATAAACAGCTGGGTATTTTGGAGAGTTTCAAAGATAATGTGCAAGATGAAGATGAACAGCAGGTTATTTTGGAGAGTATCAAAGATCATGTGAAAGGTAAAAATAAACAGCTGGTTATTTTGGAGAATTTCAAAGATAACGTGCAAGATGAAGATGAACAGCAGGTTATTTTGGAGAGTATCAAAGATCATGTGAAAGGTAAAAATAAAAAGCAGGTTATTTTGAGGAGTGTCAAAGATAATGTACAAGATGAAGATGAACAGCATGTTATTTTGGAGAGTATCAAAGATCATGTGAAAGGTAAAAATAAACAGCTAGTTATCTTGGAGAGTTTCAAAGATAATGGAAGAAGAAAGCAAAAGATTGATTCTCCTTTTTTGGTATATGATGGAAGGTTAACTAATGATTCAACTTCCTTCACTACAACTCTGGCGGATGAAGATGAAGATGAACAACAGGCTATTCTGGAGAGTATCAAAAAAAAATGAGGCATGATGAGCTTATATTCTCTTAGCAATCAAGAACCGGTAACCCAAACCAAACTATAATCAAGAATTAAGACTAAGTCAATTCACTATCGTTTTGTTTGATTTTCAATTCTGCAAATAACAGAGTGGTGTTATATGCTCCTATTGTTTAGGACCAACCACACCACGTTTCCTTATTTTCATGTTGTCTTTCCATATTTTCATGTTCTATGTTTGTAGGAGTTGAAAACTCCATTTCATTATAAACTGGAAAGTTGTGTGTTCTTCTTTTCCTTCATCTCACGCCGGATCACACACTCATTAACAATAACTAGGTATAAAAAGGAGTTATTCTTGATGAAACTCTAGATTAGTCTATTTACTAAATTTTAATTATTCATTAATCATATCATCTCTATAATATTATTTGAGAAGTCAGTTTCTTATGTGTCGCGCTCACGTTAACTCTTACACTGGTTGATTACTATGATACCCTTGATGAATATATTTAAATAGTATATTTAAATAATATTATTAATTTTATGTTTAGTTTCCTTTTTAAAACATTCCAAATAACTTTTATAATAAAAAAGAAAAAAATATTAAATTTAAAAACGAAATATATGTTTATATAATATTATTTCATTAAAAAGGAAAGTTCACAAAATAATAATATACTATCAAAAAAGTAAAATAGTATTATTAATTTTGTATTTAGTTTCCTTTTAAAAAATTATAGTATATTTAAATAATATTATTAATTTTATGTTTAGTTTCTTTTTTAAAACATTCCAAATAACTTTTATAATAAAAAAGAAAAAAATTATTAAATTTAAAAACGAAAATCGATGTTTATATAATATGATTTCACTAAAAAGGAAAGTTCACAAAATAGTAATATACTATCAAAATAATAAATAGTATTATTAATTTTGTATTTAGTTTCCTTTTTAAAAATTTCCAACTAAAATTTATAATAGAAAAAAATCTATAAAATTTAAAAGGAAAAATTAAAAAATGAAAATATATGTTTATATAATATGATTTCATTAAAAGGGAAAATTAACAAAATAGTAACATCCATTAAAAATATTTTAAATAACACAAAATGTACTTTTTAATTAATAAAATACTTTCTTTATATCTTTATTTTCTTATATGAAAATATATATTTTTATATAATGTGATTTCATAACAAAAAATTCACACATATAATTTTGCTATTTGAAAAAAAAATTTACTTTTAAACATAATTTTAAGTAACATAAACAACTATATGTTTTTATTAACTAAAATAGTTTTTAATTAAAATTATTGAATATTTTATTTATTTTCATATATTTAGTTGAATAGTATCTTTCAACTAAAGCAAAAAAAAATCTATAAATCAAATTTTACTTATATAATATGATTTCTCAAATACAACCACAATTTTTACTGCTTATTTTTAAGAGAAATTAAAA